GCCTGGGAAGTCAGAAGCGAATGGAAGTCAGCTCCTCTGCCAGCTCTGTGGGCGGCGGGGTCGCAAGGCCGGGAGCAGTGCCGGTGGCGGTGGCAGTTGGGGAGGCGGCTAGGATCTCCACCTGCCCACACTCCCCATGGGGCCGTGAACACCAGATGCCCTACTCAGCGTCCGTGTTCCCCTGGAAAGGGGGGGTGACAGCTCCCAGCAGGGCAGGGGCAGCAGAGGGGACAGGTAAACTGTGGCTGGGTGTGGGGGGGACCGGGCTGAGAAGGCCCTTAAGGGTCACCTGTCCCCCCAGACCCTGACCTCTAAGTGCCCCACAGGCCCAGGGCTGCACGACTAGTGGACAGCCCGGCCCAAGTGATCCCTGGGCAGCTCCCGGATGAGCCCTGAGCCAGATGATCCCACGGGGAAGGGGTTCGTGGGCCCCGATCCAGGAAGCAGGCGGCAGGAAGCAGCGTGGGGAGCAGGACAGAGCCAGGCCCGAGCAGAGCAAAGGCCCCGATGGAGCCCAACGCCAGCCGGCGGCTGGACCAGCCCGGGGTGTGGCCCATCCACAGAGGCAGTGTCTCCAGAAGGAGGGAGGGGCTTGCTCTCTTCTGAGCCAGCGGGGCCACCCAGGCCTGTTCTCGGTGACGCTCACAAACATCTTCCCAAAACAAGCTACAGAGAAGGGCGGCCTGAACCTGCTGCCGATGGCGGCATCCCCCTGAAGCAGCAGAAAAGGGGTCGCTGCGCCGTGCAAACAGCAGTGGGGCCCACAGGACAAGGGCAGAGTGTCCTGGTGCCGCTCGCCCAGCTGCCCGACGTGCCCAAGCTCCGGCTGATGGAGGGCTGGGAAAGGGTGCCCCTGCCCGTCCCTGTTCTCCGCGAGGACACAGTGGCCCCTGCCTTGCTGATGGCCGGTGGGTCTGGCCGGAGGTGGCCCATCGGTCCCGAACCCCAATCAGTGCCCGAGGCTTTCAGGGCGCCCAGCCTGGCCCTCCCCTCCCGCAGCCTCCTGGCTCCTGCCCCTTTGTGACAGACAGGGAAACTGAGGCCCCAGCGGGGTGGGGCTGAGCCCTGCTGTATGGGCTGCGGCACCAGTTCTGGGAGGTCCTGTGCCCTCCCATCAGGGGGCTCTGACCAGCCTACAGGCGGATGGATGGACGGATGGACGGAAGGGAGGCGGTGGCGGTGCCGGTCTTACCGTAGCCGGTGGTGGGCAGCCCCAGGTGCTTCATGCGGTTCTTGACCGGCTCGGACAGCTCCTGCCGCTCGGAGCGCCGGGACAGGCTGACCCGCTGCTGGCTGATGCCCTCAGCCGCCCGGCCCACGTGCCTGGAGCTCCTGCGGCTCAGCCTCCGGGCCCACTGCAGGCTCTTGCGCCGCAGCAGCGGGTGCTCTGCCTCCTCGCAGTCCTCCATGCTCACCGAGACCTGGGACTGGCCGAGGGCGTGCGGTGAGGGCTGGAGGGAGAGGGCAAGAGGCCGGGGAGGGGATACGGAGCCGGGGAGGGGTGCAAGGCCAGGGAGGGGGTAACAGGGCCAGGGAGGGGGCAGCAGGGTGAGGGAGGGGGCAGCAGGGCCAGGGAGGGGGTGCAGGGCCTGGGAGGGATGAGGAACCCAGGGGGGCGTGCAGGGCTGGGGAGCCAGTCGGCTGACAGGAGGACAGCCCCTCCTGTGGGGGACCGCAGGGCCCAGGGACACAAGTGCCTTCCTTCTCCATCTGGGGGGAGCCAGGCTGAGCCCCCTTCTAAGCCCCAGAGGCTCCCGTCCTGGCTGTAGGCCTGTCTGCCATCAGCTCCCTCACCGCTGGGCCTTGGTGTCAGGGGGTCCCATCTGGGCCCTGCATGTCCCGACTTTGCCATGGAGGGGCCCCACCTCTGCCTCAGTCTCTCCACTTTGTGGGGCAGGAGAAACCAGAGCATGGTGGCCTGGGAAGCACAGGGCCTGTGCATGGCTCAGTGGATGTGTGGGGCTCTGGGGGTGAGGTGGGGACCCCCATCCGGGCAGCACCTTCAGAGGCAGGGGGCTGGGGACAGGGAGGGTAGGTCCCGCCGGGATGGGGCCACAGCACAACATGCAGGTGGCACGTGTGGCTTGGCGACCTGGGCTTCCCTCCCTGGGCCTCAGTTTCCCCATCTGTACAGGAGGGGGAGGCCCTGAGCTCAGAGCTGCTCCGTGGCCAACACGTCCCAGGACCAGCTCCCCGGTGCTGCCCAGGGCCGGCACCTCCCGGGCCAGGTGGGTCTGGCTCAGGCCGGCTCCACAGACAGCAGGACGCCTCGGGTTACGCTTGAAGGGGCTGCTCACCTGGACTCTGAGGTCGTGGGGCTGGAAAGGAAACCAGGGGCAGCCTGGGTACCTGGGGGTGCCCTCCCCCCAACTCTGCCTGAGCCCTTCATGGGCATCTGCAGGGCAGGCCGCCCGCTGTGGTTCTGGGGAGGCACAGGGGCCCCACCAGGTACCCCACGTATGGGGCACGTGGACTGGTCCCCCAACTACAATGGAGACCCGCAAACTACAATGGCGACGGCCGAGCACAGAGAAGTGGGGCTGTCCGCTGCTCGCCCC